TTGATAATGAATGTAAAATTTTTCTGTTGAGAAAACTTTTAAGGAAGGTTTTAATCTGAGAGTTTACCTGGTACTACAAGGATAACAATGCCAAACAATCATTTTTATTTCAAAAATTAAAATTTTATCTACTTATCCTGTTAGATTACACTAAGCAGCACTGCATTCTTATTACTATTTCTGCAGCTGGAGTGTCGCCAGGTGACTCCTCCTTTCAACCCATTGATTCGCTCTGAAATAGATTCAGACAACTTTGATCCACAATTCACTTGCGAGCCAGCAGAGCTCACACCAGATGACCCGTAAGTGGTCTGGTACCTGGATGTGCCTCTGTCCTCTCAGCTGTAGCAATCCTGGATTCACTGTTATAATTTTATTATTCCTTAACTGTAGATGCTGCATTACCTTTCTGTTTTTTTGGCAAAGTGAGACTGCAAAGTAGTAGTTTTTGATTAAACTCAAGGCTCCACATGACGAGTTACTTGGCCTTTACGGAGTTTTCAATAGACCCTGGGACACATTTTTATTAAGCCTAAATCATGCATTTTGCTTAAGCTTGTAGTAAGCCGCTTGCTATGCCATCCTGTCCTATACAGTTGGAGCAGAAGCAGGTTCCTCCGCCCTACAAGCCCCGACTGGAAGGTGATCGTGACCTTGCAAACTTCCCCCCTGAGTTTACTGATGAGCCTGTGCACTTGACCCCTGATGATGCGTAAGTAGTTCCCTTCCTTGCTTGCACTACATGAGGTTGACCCTTTGATTAAGGAAACCAAAGGTTTAGCATGTCAATTTCAATGTTTTGCACATTTTATGGTATCAGTAGTCTGTGTTTTATGATACTCTTTCATGCTGTTATACCAATCTCCTATTTTGTTCTTTTTATTTACTCTAAATGTGAAGTTTGCTGTGCATGAAGTCAAGCATACATATTTTTATCTATTACTTAAGCTAGAGGGTTTAACCCCTATTTCAATGATTAAATTACAGTAAATTGATAATGTTTTTCTTATAATTTATCACTGGTATTAAAAGATGAATATTATTCGTAGTGTTAAAGTTTTTTGTTATGAATATTAAACTAACATTTGTATTTGTTGTGTTTCAGGCGTGTCATTGAAAAAATAGATCAAACAGAATTTGAGGGTTTCGAATATGTGAACCCGTTACTAATGTCACTTGAAGACTGTGTTTGACAAAACGACCCTGGTCGCCTCTCAGTAGACGGCCAGGATGATGTTGTTGATGCATTCGGGTTTGTAAACTACAATAAAGTTACTCTGAAGTAAATGTTATTTCTTTATTAGTGTACTAAGTCTGTTTCTCCTTTCCAGGGATGATGACGATGATGATGATTGCACTGTACCTGGGGTTGTTCTGGGGCTAGATGATGGAGGCCAAGAAGGAGAAGTGGTTGCAGGTGGCGTTGTAGGAGTGCCTGGGGTGAACGTTCTTCAAGATCAAGAGGAAGAGGAGGAAGAATCTGAGGAGGAGTGGCTCCAACTGCAGCGTCTTCATTTAGGAGGCTATGACGTAGGATTGACTCCTCGGGATTGGATCCAGACAGAAGATCGACCTATACCATCCATTGATTCCAATGATGGCCATGGCACCGATGATGATCCGCATGATGGGGGATTCCATGGTGATAGGCAAGGATCTCGCCGCGGACTTCAACAGATGTTCTGCATGTCGCTCCGCTAAAAGAATGCCACACTACTTCCTGCTCTACTTCTCTCTAATGGCCATTTGCCAAAAAAGTTTCAATGTTGGGCAAAATTTTAATTAAGAAAATTTCCAGAATTATATTATTTTGTCAGTGTTGTCAACTAGGTAATTTAGACAAGGGTTCTTAGCGACTAGACAGTCGCATTTTTTGCAGGATGTTTTTTTCCTGTGAGCGAACCAATTCTGGCTGTGTTGGATTTATTGTAAGATGTGGACGCTGAGAATGTGATTATATTTCGGTCTTCAGTTTTGTTACTTTTATTCCCTCCAATTATGTTTTGACTCAAAGCAGTCCAACATTGAGACCTACCCTGGTAGATCTAATAAGTAAGAGAAATTCTTTGATTTATTAAAAATTATTTTGGCTGTATTTGTGATTTGCTTTGGTGCCTTTTTCGTCTGTTGTTTTCGTCTATTTTGAATGCTTAAGAATGTCATCCAGCTGGTCTTTCTGGACAAAGGATACTATTTTATGTTATGACAAATTACTGTTCTTGTTAAGAACAGTGTCATTATACTGTTTATGTTTTATGTACTTAAACCCTGTTGCCATTACACACATTTATTCTTATAAATTGAAACTTCTATCTTTCCAGTTTGATCCTATGATCACTTAGTTTCATGGCCAACTCTCAGTATTACCTCTATTTAAAGTGACTGTTAGATTGGTAGCACTGCATTTATGGCCTATCTCCTGTCTCTTTATGTTATTTAATGTAAATAATTTCTAAGAATTCATCCCGGAGCACTATGTTCTGATAAGGTAGAGCACTTATTCTAAACATGTCTTTGCTAGTAATGTGTATGTATTTCATGCACAGGCAGTGTTGTTAGTGCACACGCTGATTTTTTGTTTTTTTTTTGACAAATACTTAGATAGGAAGTAAAGATTACACTTTTATTATTACTCTTATTTTTATTCCCAACATTCCTATGAGTGTAATTCATGATGCTATTGTCATGATAACTCATACGATTTCTATCAGTATATTTTGTTCATCATGGTAATTTTTAACACATTCTTTCTTTTTGTTATTCCGTATTTAACGTGATGTTTATTTGATTCTCATACCCCTCCTATAGCCATGAAAATTTTATAGAAGATATTGAATTATGTGGTTTTTATCAGAGTTAAGATTTATTGCTCATATAACTTGTATTTATGAATGATTTAAATAACCTGACCATCTTCTCATTGCTAAACAATGGTTTATATTCTAAATTTTTCACTGAGATAATATGCCAGAGTGCTGGACTGTTCCTACGAATATGTATGTATGAGTGTACACATGATTCACAACGGCACCCTGTGACCTCTCTTGTGTATGTGTGAGTGTTTGTATTATTGTATGCAGATATATTTACGTTGTGGTATAGATTTTTTTATGATGGCACTCAGACAGTAAGCAACAATACTGTTCATATACCATGTTGTAACAACTGATTTCTATAGCCACTGCTTCTTTCTCTCTAGCAAGATTGTGAAAAGAATTTAGGTTTTTATCTGGAATTTTCAATGCTGAAGCTTAGAATGTATAAAATTCTGTGAACATGTGTGATGGTGTCTCTCAATGTATAATTGACCTCCTGTCTTTTTGTCTGTGTTCCTTGTTTATATGCCTTTATATTATATACCTGATAGCTAGTTTTCTCCCATTGATATTACAATATATCAAAAGTCACTCCAACATGCCTGCCTCCTGATTTGATCAGAACCTCCTCATAGCCTTAACCATGACAGTGTGTGGTTTGCAGTGTTGTCACAATTTCTTTAGCCACTTTGCTATCAGTCGACTTTTGAGCAATTTTACTGGCCCCTCTTCTACAAGGATTATGGATAAATGATAAACTGAGCTAAATTAAACTGTGGGAAAGAAATCCATAAAGGAAAACGCTTTTCAGAACTTTCTTTTAAAGAGATGTGATAAGGGTTTTCTTTATGAAAGTTGCTGACCGTAACAAGACTTGATTTATTGACTTACGACTGTATTCTAGCTCTATCAGATCTTATTTACTGTTTGTGATGCTGAAGGTTCGAGGTGAGCCCGTTTGTCCGAAGCCCGTTTGTCCGAAGTGAAACAATCTATTTTAGTAAATAAAATAAGTAAAGTAGTTAGTTACATTATGTTA